GGCAGAAACATACCATGTGACTGACATACAGTCGATCAGGAAACACCACTGAAGTCAAGATTTGCTGGAATCGTCACGATTTGAACTCCCTAAACAGATGTTTTAATCTTAATTTAGTCCAGACTGCGGTCAGGAATAGAAACATCATGAGACATTATATTATTATACTCGAGCTTCAATCTAAAATTGTTTTATTGATAAACTTCAAAAGGAAGTGGAGGGCTGCAACTACCGATTATTGTCATAAGCTTATCTTTGTTAACATAGGTTAATTAATCGTTTAGTCTGCAACATTTTTTAAAAAATTGTAAAAAATGCAGACTTTTAAGGAGGGGGGGGGGGGGTAATATTCAGAGAAACAAAGATTACATTTAGATTCTCTAAATTTTATTTTGAAGGACTAATCGATTATTCGTTGCAGCTCAAAAAGCAACACCACAAAGATTTACACACAGACTTCATCGTTAGATGTTGTGAGTGCAGATTGAGCTCCATTGAACCACATTCTGGACTCATCATTAGCGAGCTTTAGTTCTCCTCATTAAGAGTAAAACGAGCTTTGTGGATTGAAATCGGTCACGTAATTATATCCTTGAATCCCTTACGAGGCCAGAAGGTCTCTTGGGGTTCCTGCTGAATCAGAACTGGACTGAATATATCATCTTTTAACGGGCTGAGCTTTCTTCATCGGGACCCCGAGGCTCCGGACTAGCCTGACAAACAAGATCAGGCAGATCCGTTCAGATCAGTGTCCTCCTTTACGTCTGAGACTCTTTTTATCTAAAGCATGTTGCACCAGACAGAGATAACGCGCTATGGATCAGAGGAGGGGGCGGAGCTTGTATCTATGTCTGTGTCAGCTTTACATAAGAGATCTTTAGACTCTCCCTGCTCTCCGTAAACCGCCTCACACATGAAAGAAAACTTTGCTGTCTTTGATAAGGTTCGTTGGGGTCTGTTTGTCCCCCACCAGCTGCTGAGCAAAGGCCACACACCCGATAGCTCAATATCCTCTTCACCTCTTCCACAAGAAGCCAACAAAGAGGAGGCCATGCAACGACCACAATGCTAGTTAATAAGCTAATGATGAACCACAGACCCGGATGAAGGCCAAGCATGACTTAGTTCCCACTAAAAGCAGCGCAAAAAGCAAAGATGTCAGGTTCTCCTACGATCTGATAACACAGACGTTCATAATGAGAACCACAAACACACACACACTGTGTTGTTCTCATTTATTCTGATGGGCGGATTTGAACGCCAACCTTTTGTCCGACCTGTGTGAACTTCAGGCCCACCGGGACAAAGCAGAGCGCAGTGACACCTGAACAATACCGCTTCTAACTGTGGAAACGTCCCATTACAGCTCCGAACAATCACCCTGTTTCTGAACTCAGAGGCCCGACCTTTTCATCAGACACGCACACACACACACACACACACACACATGAACTCTTTGCACAACAACTAAACTGACAAGTCAATGTTTAGTTAACACAGTGATGGAGCCGAGCCGACATGTTTCCAAATCATACAACTCAATAAAGAACTATTTATATTCACAGATCACTTCCCAAACATCGGACCTGATATGTGCGTAAAGTGTTGTGTTAACAACCATAAAGCATGTCGTCTTATCTGGTCTCCTCAGAAACTATAACCTGTTGTACAGAATGTGCTGATAAGATACACGTGTGTGCGTGGACAAACGTGACTTATAAGGTATGAATTAATGAGTTATAATCTGGAGAACAATATGTTTGAGACATAAAGAGAACACAAATAAACTTTCTACTGCAGCACTTGTTACGTTCAGACTGTATATGCGGTGCCTGATGGGTCATAAATAGTCTGTTAATAATAAGTAATAATAAAACTCTTAGGTTGTTACCAGGTGTATTTACTCCTCTATCATAACTCGCTATTATGAATAGAAATGTTTATTAATTAAATACTTTTTCTAAGAAGCAATAAACTCTGCGGTTATTAATGTTAGTGAACGATTAACAGGCTGTTCTTCTATTAAAATAATCTACAAAGTCTGCAGTTTAATAACAAACTGACCTGGTCATGAACATGTAAAACACATTTTGTGTCACTTTCAGCAACATTTTTAAGGTTTAACCATAACTGGGCTTCAACTAACGACTATCTATTCTACTATCGGTTCGTCTGCAGGTTACTTTCTCGAGTAATTGACTCGTTATTTAGTCCATAAAACCTCAGAAAATAGAGACAAATGTTTCTACAGTCCAAGGTGACGTCTTTGAGAGAAAAGGAGTGACGAGGCTGATGACGCTCCTCTCCACAGATACTCTCCAAAAATACTTTGAGACACTGAACAAAATGTCGTGTAGTGCAGGTTTTATTTCCCTAAAACCCTCTGCTGTCACAATCGAAGAGGAAAAGGATCATTATTACTATAAAGCATTACTTATTTTAATATACTTTTGCCCTAAAAGGTCAGTTGTTTGTATGAGGTTCTTCTCTATAGTCAGTGTTCTACTACAGGAGATGGAACAAAGCAATGTTCTGCTGTGGACGTATTCTAGACTCCTAACAGAATCTCTGTCAGTTTAAGTGAACGTTATGTTTAGAATGTTTTCACCGCTTTACCTTGCTGTCAGACACTGAAGCTGTTATCTCTGATCTCTACAAACACACCAGACTCCATTCACTAAACACTGATTCTACCTCTCAGGACACAGGAGCTGCTGCTGCCTCCATCGGTTAGTTAGTTTGTGTTTATCGTGTGACTTTTGTGTTTCAAAGGGTTAGTTTGGATTCAGAGAACATAGATAACAGCTTCAGTAAGGTAAAGAGGGGGAAATATTCTAAATATAGCTTTAAGATGTAATCTGTAGCATTTAGGAGGATCTATTGGCAGAAATGGAATATATTATCTTTAAGTAATGTTTCTTTCATTGTATTAAAATAAGAATTGCTGTGTTTGAATGAGTCCTTTATATCTACATACAGAGGTGAAACAGCTGCAGAAAGTCAGACATAAACCCGAAAAACGTCCGCAATCAAGCCACCGTAAAATAAAGTTCTTGGCTAAGTTTTGTGAAATGTAAGATTGCCTTGTGGATACGTTAATAGTAGATTAGAGTGATGAGGTCAGATTGTAGGGGAGATCCCTCAAGAGGAGTATGAGGGATTTAATGAGCGTGTCACATGGAGAAAGGTGTGAAGAAAGAAAGAAAAAGACTCAACGAAGGGCTGGGATTGGATAACTATTTGTGAGAAATGAAACCAGGAAGTGGGAAGGAGCGGGAGAGTAAACAAGTAAACAGGTTCATGTTCCTCACCAACGTTCTGGAAACCAACGGCACACGGGGCATCGTCAAAGTCCACACAGCTGATCTCCAGAGGGTCCAGCTTGGCTATGTGATGTCCTCGGACCTTTTGAACAGAGAAACACAGCTCAGTGTGTGTGAGTGTGTGTGTGAGTGTGTGTCTGTCAGCAGAACCCTAGACAGAGGTTCTGGGTCAAAGTTTGTAAATCCAACGTCCTTCTAACGTTCCTTTAGCTCGCTAAGCTAACTGAGGAGAGCTAAACTTGAGCAGAGGTGGAACACAACTAAGGACTATTTTACTCCAAGACATTTATCTGACAGCTATAGTTACTTATTGCTATAATTGTCTTCATCTCAACCAGCTGCAACATTTAAATGACATGTTCAGGCATCAAAACAAAAAAATACAATATACAGTACATAATAATACAACAGTATGAACCGGGCATTCTGCATCATAAATACTTTCACTTTTGTATGTATAGCTAGCTTATATATAGGATGTACTGTAGTCTACCGCCTGTACGGTACTGAGGTTTATCAACTGATCTACAACTGAGATAAAGTTCCAGCACTGAGTTTCATTGTCATCAATAAAAAGATAAAGACGGTGATATTCTTTCATTACAGTAAACACTAGTTTATTTAGGCACCAGTTCTGCTGCCCCAAAAATGCTCACTAGAACACCTAATGTGGATTAATCCACCACTAAAAATAGTCCATAAAAAAGGTTGGCTGAATTGTTGTAAACATTGTAAACATGAGTT